GAGTATGGCCAATATGCATCCATTTTCCTATGAATGACCCTAGTTAGACCGAGAGATTTTAAGTTACCTATCCAAGGCCACAGATCTGATCTGGATGAACTGAGATCTGATTCCAGAGCCTGCGATTGTGCTGTGTCCTAGTCATCAATCCCTGTGCATGGCTGAAAATTAAGGTCAAGATCATCTCTTCCAGGAAGGCTTCTTTGGCTCCATCCCTCTGGCTTGTTCTGTCTTGTTTAGACATCTTGCCTCTGTGTCCCCTCCATTTTTTGTGTGTGTTTTTTTTGTATTTGCCTTTTTTGGTGTGGTGCTGGGGATGAATGAAACCCAGGGTCTCGTATATGCTAGGCAAGTGCTCTACCAGGGCTTTTTATTTTATTCTGAGACAAGGTCTTGCTGAGTTTCCTAGGTTGGCCTCCAACTTGAGATCCTCCTGTCCCATGCTGTGGAAGTAGCTGAGATTATAAGTGTGAGTCACCATAACTAGTTTTTGTACTTGTTTTTTATGTCCTTAGCACCCTACATGTCTCTGGGATTAGAGCAGGTAGTCAAGAGATGATTGTAGAAAGAGATCAATGTAAAGAAGAGGGAGAAAGGGAAGAAAGGAGAAATAGGGAATTGGAAAAGAAGATATGTTGCACCAGGTGTGATGGTATGCCTATAATCCCAGCACTTAGGAGACTGAGGCAGAAGATTGCTGTAAGTTCAAGACTAGCCTGGGCTACATAGTGAATTCATGGCCAGCCTGAACTACATAGCAAGACCCTGTCTCAAAAAACCAAAAACAAAAAGTTACAATCTTATTTTATTGAATACTAAAGAAGGAGAATTGAGAGGCAGGAGAGCAAGGTAGTTAAGCATATGATCTCCTGATTCAAACTGCCAGCTTTGCCACTTACTAGGGTTGTAATTTAGGGCACAGGTTTTCTGGGCATGGTGATGCACGCCTATAATCCCAGCACTTGGGAGGCTGAGACAAGAGGATCGCCACAAGTTCAATGTGGGCCTTTTCTATATAGTGAGTTCAGGGTCAGCCTGAACTGCACAGTGAGACCTTGTCACAAACAAACAAACAAATAGGATACAGATTTAGTTGCTGTATTTCAATGGCTTCCTCTATAAAATAGGAATCTCATTAGCAGTGACTGAGCCAAGTGTGGTGGCACACACCTATTTTGGAGGCGGATGCAGAAGGTTCATTTGAGCTCAGGATTTTGAAACCATCTTGAGCACCATAGTGAGACTTTCCCATCTCAGAAAAAAAAGTGCCTGCCTTAAATGATACTGTAAAGACTAAATGAGTTATTACATTTAAACTGCTTAAAACAGTGCCTAAGATATGGTAAGCACTTGCTGAAAAAATAAATAAATACATAAGTAAATATTGGTTATTATTATTTCTGTGAAAGGAAAGTGGGAAGCTGGGGATTTAGCTCAGTGGTGCTGCACCTGCCTCACAAGTGCAAGATCCTGAGTTCAATCCCCAGTACCAGAAAAAAAAAAGCGAGAAAATTTAATGCCATTAGATGGTGAGAAAGAAAGACAGAGTATCTTCATTTTCCCACCTTTCATTTTACTGACTAACACCAAGGTCATTCAAAGGCAGTTAGGAATATAAAACAATAAATAAATAAATAAAGGTCATGGGGTGCATCAGTAATAGCCTTATGTTTCCAATCCCATAGTAGCATTAAGCAATCATTATCCTCAGAACATTTAAAAATATTGATATTAAAATTATCATGATGAAGGGAGGAGCGGGTGAAGGGAGGGCAGGGGTATGGGGAGAAAATGAGAACCAAGACCTGTCATGTAAAGGTACCAGATCTCAATGATGAATGTAACTACTGTATACCTAAAAAGTACCAATAAACTCAATGAGGAAAAAAATTATCATGATTTATTTTGAAGTTTTTTGTTTTGTTTTGTTTTTTGTGCCAGGGATCAAACTCGGGACTCTGCACTTGTGAGGCAAGTGGCAGAACCACTGATCTAAATCCCTGGCCCTTATCATGATGTATTTTATTCTAAGTTAAATTTTACTTGTTGTCTATCACCCTCAGTTAAATTGTGATTTCCCTGATGGAAAAGATTCTTGATTTCTTTTCTTCAAGTCTTAGCAAGGGGGTTGTCAAGAAATAGATGTTCAATAAATGTTTGCTAAGTGAATTTAGTAGAAAGAAGAATAAAAGAGAAATGACCATAGTAGAAAAGAAGTATATACACAAACAATAAAAATATTTTGTGATATTTATCAAAAAAGAAGCTTAAAAGCAGCTATGATTATAGCTCAGAAAAGACAGATTACTTCTAGGTAGGAAAGATCAGTAGTAAATAATGGTTAATGTCTCAGCTACTCAGGAGGCTGAGGTAGGAAGATTGCGAGTCTGAGGCCAGCCTGGGCTACATAGCAAGACCCTGTCTTTACAAAAATAAAAAGGACTTGAAATGTAGTCTGGTACAGAATGCCCCTGAATTCTCTCTCCAGTACCTAAAGAAAAAAAAGAGTTACATCTGTGAACTTTAGAATAAGCCTTGTTTTTAGCCTTAACTGTACCACATATGCATTTGGGTTGGCTAGGGATATAACAGTGATTTCTTTACCAGTGAAATGGGGATGATGTAATTTGGAAGAAATAAAGGAGATGATTCATATAAAGCATCAGGGATCCATTATGACACTGTGGAGTGGCTCATATCTCATCATAATCATCACCACCATCATCAAATGTTTTGTGATGTAAGCAAGCACTAGCTGCCTGGATGGCCAGACACAGGGCAGAGCACCGAACAACCAGAAGGTACGCACAAAGGTATTATGGGTGTTGGAAAGATTTATGCAAAACAGGGATTGCAAATGGTGTTATTTAATTGAGACACTGCATGGTTTCAGGAAGACAATTGGGAAGAAGATTGGGAAGTGGCCTCTAGCTTCAGATCACAGTGTTTAGCCTTTATTTTACAGACAATACTGGAACTTTGCAGAATTAAAAACAAGGTAATGACTGGTTCAGAGCCAGCTATAGGAGGAATGTTCAGGCTTTTTGTGCAGAATGGGCTCGGGAGTGTGAGGGGAGGTGGAAGAAGATACACCACCTAAGAAACTTTTCCAGCAGTTCCTCGGAGAAGTTGAAGTTCCCCTCTGTGATAGGGGCAAGGGAAAGGAAAAGAGGGGAGCACACATGTGGGGCCTTGAATCAGTCAACAGAGCTGAGTGAGAACTGAATATTCTCCTGGAAACTCACTCAGCTCTTGGTTTCTGTGAAGGTGTGAAAAGATAGTTAAGAACAATTCTGAAGGTGTACATCCAGGTCTACTATTCCAACAGAAATGAAACACAGGGGAGCCTAGTATTTATTTATTTATTTATTTATTTATTTATTTATTTATTTGACCAGGAATCAAACTCAGGGCCTTGTGCTTCCCAGGCAGGCAATGTGCCGCTGAGCTTTAGCCCCGGCCCCCGTTTAGCTTATATTTTGATCATATCTTGTAATAAGTAAAAGGATGGAGTTGGCTCAGCTTTCTGAGGGTGACAGTCCAGAGGACAAGGAACTCATCTTTAGAAAACATCTCTCATTTCTAGGAGAGTGAAAGAGGAACCTGTGAGCAAGGAGGGAGTAGAGAGGTGAAAAACACACCTGTATAGAAACTGAGAACAGAGTGAGTTTCTAGTATTCAGAGGAATCATGAGCTAAGCTGCAGACAGCTCAAATTGAAAGAACTAGGAGAGGATGGGGTTTGGCCATTAGGAAATCACTGATAACTTATGAGAGAATAACACATGGAAGGAGGAACTAAATTGTAGTGCCAAGGAAGGAAGTGGTTTAGGAAAAGCTCCTGAGAACACACTGGCATTCAGGAAGTTCGCAGACAAAAGGCTAGAGATGTGACGGTGGCTCAAGGTGGGAGCAGAATTACCCTTCCCCAGATAAATATCCACTTGCCTATGATTATTCAGATATGGCTACTATGTGCATATTTTAACCACTTACAAGTCTAATATTTAAATAAGGATGACCAACAATTGCGTATGTCTTCATTTATTTTTATAAAGCAATATAACAGGAAATGTAAAAATGACAATTTAATCAAATTTATTCAATAATTTTTCTGTGTATGGTATATCTTAAAACATTTAATATACAAAGCAACATTACAATCTGGACAGTAGTATCTAGTCTCTTTCTGAATTCTTTTTGCAGTATTATCTTTCTTTGAACAACACAGCTGACACTGTCATGTTGGCCTTTCCTTTTTTCCTGTGGATAGTATAATTTCAATAAAATGTCCACCCATTAAATGTAATGGTGAAGACATCGATGGTTGTCTGCCTGGTTGGCGTTTTGCTATCCTGTATTTTTAAGTTATCTGGTCTTTTAGACCTAATCTAAATTGTGAATGAACTTTTGAGCCCCCTTGTTTCGAATAAATAACAAAACGAGTTCCATATTGTTTGGTCCAGAATGTGCATAAATATTTTATAATATTTTTTCTTGCTCTCTGATTGCAAGATAGCTTGTTAGATGTTGGTCAACTCTGTCAATACCACTCATAGAATTATTATAACCATCTGCCACTACTGGAATTTTTATTTTGTTTTATTTTTTGGTACCGGGGATCGAACTTGGGTCCTGGCACTTGCGTGGCAGGTGGCGGCACCACTGAGCTAAATCCCTGGCCCGTCTACTGGAATTTTTAAAGTTTCATTTCTTCTTTCAAGTTCTATCATTTCAGTATTATGAACAGCTGACAGTACAGGATGTCTTTTTTTGTCTTTCTGTTTCATAACACAGTTTACTCGCTGATATGCTAATATTTGTCTCTCTTTTAGTTTTTTCTTTTGCAGATCTTTTGGCACTTCCTATTCTGTCTCAGTATCCCAGATGTGTCTGATTTATATTATAAAAGAATGTCAACAAGTTCTCAAGAAGTATAGAAATTACATCTAATATACTCACAATAAGAGTTTGTAGAGATTATAGCACAAAATTACATTATTTTTCACAAAATGAACATGAATTAGTGAAACAAAATAACCAGAACTTACTAGATTTCACTAGAAACAAACATCAAAGGTGAATACACTATTTTAAATAAAAACTATGCAAAAAATAGTCAATCTAAAAGAATAAACCGATGTACAAGTGTATCTTGGGCAAAGAAGAATCAACTGGCTGAAATGACACATGTCTGAGAGATGCTGGGAGTAGCCAGTATGTAAACAAACTTGATGCCTGAGTGACCCTCGGGGTAAACTCTTAAGTGGTTCGCAGAAGGCAGTATTAGCTCGAGAAGGCCAGAGGAGGGGCTGTGGAGAAATGAGATGAAAGTCAGGCTCCTGCTGTTCTGAAGTTATAGAAGACATTATCTGTACATGTACAGTAGCATCTGTGTTAGTAGAGACAGAGCTTACTTATCACACAACCACAGACTGAGCAGGACATAAGAAACTCTCCTTTCCCACTTAAGGAATACAAAGGTCCACCATTCGTTGAGAAGAATTCAGAAGCTTTCAGAAAGTAATTTTAGCCGGGAAGGCATGCAAAGATAAACAAGTGCATGATGTCTTCTCTTCCTTGATTTTTCCACCCCATTGTATTTTAGGAAAGTGCCCAGAGGCATCATTAGAACACTCCAAATAGTATTATTAACACTGCCTGAGTTTGTAGGCCGTACATCAGCACAGTGCTTTTCATTTCATATAAAGCTCTCATGATCTCTTTATTCTTCACAGAATCTCTTTGAGGTATTACTTTTCTGTTTTGCAAGGGAAGAAACTGAGGATCAGAAAGAAGAGATATTCCCCCAAATTACCCTGCCAGAAAATGACAGAGCCCTCTACCCTGGCTCTTTTTAATAAATGCTTTCAAACCACTCACATAGTCTTCACAGTGTGACCCTACCTGGCATTTGACAAGTCAAAGTGCAGCAGCACTATCATCTCCCTGGTTTTGGGGCTCTAAATTTCTGTCAATAGAGCCTAAAATGATATTATCCTTGGCCACTAACCTGTGTGCAGTGTATGAGCTAAACTATTTTTCTTATGCCCCCTTATTATCCACACAATAAAGACTCCTGGAGCAGGAGTTCTTGGCAATGTATCTGTTGTTCCAGGTGGTCAGGAGGCAGGACAGCAGCTCCCTTGCTCAATACCTGGTTTGGTCTAACAGAAAGAGGGCCAGATTTGGAGGCTGAAGGCTTAGCTTTCCAGCTCAAACTATAAGTCTAACACTATGACCTTAGTTGTATTACTAAAGCATCAGGTTCTTGATCTGAGAAATGAGTATAATAATAGCTACTTTATGAGTATGCTGCCAGCATCAGTGAAACACTTGCTAAAAGTAGGGCCTTGTGCTGGGTTTCTGTTTTAGGCATCATGAAATTCTTAATAAGTTTGGAAGGAGAGGCCCAGCAAGGCCCAGCATTTTCATTCTGTGCTGGGCCCCAGAAAATTGTGTAGCTTGTCCAACTTGTGTACTCTTGGCTAAGACCCCATTTAACATCTCTGAACACCACAGTCTGTAATTAGTTGAATTGAACTACATTATAGGAAATATATTGATATGACAATTCTCAATCCTTCTTTATTCACTTATAGCAAACTTTGACAGTTTGATCAATCCCTTCTCCTTAAAACATTTCTTCAATTTAGCTTCCAGGACACAAGACTTCTGGTTTCTCTCTGTCCCACTGGCTGCTCCTTTGCTCTCTTCTCCTTAATCCGTTCTTACATCCAAAAGTAAACCCTTGATCATCTCCTCCAAGTCTGCTCCTCCCAGTCTTGCTCTATCCTTTCAGTTGCTCAGACCAAACCTCAACCCATATTCAGTTTGTCCAAAACCTCATCACCACTTCCCCACTACCATCACACTCCAAGCCATCGGTGTCTCCCACCTGGATCACTGTGATGACCTTCTGATCAGTCTCCCTGTTCCCACCTCTTCCCTATCCCACATGGTAGCTGGAATAATCCTTTAAACTTTCGAGTCAGTCTGTATCACTCTGCTGTTCAAAACCACCCCATAACTATTCATCTCCTTTGAGCAGAAATCCCTACTAGGGGCAACAAGCTACTCCCTGATCCCTGCCTCTGTCTCTCCTTAGGCCATTGCTGGTGTCTTCTGCCAGGAAGGCCTTCTCAGATATCAGCAGAGCTGGTGTCTTTCCTCCTTCCATTCTTTCCTTCTTCCATTCCAGTCATAGTCCAGCCATAGTAGACCACACTATTGAAAGAGCAGCCCAGGTATACAGCCCAGGTATCTAGGCCCAGCTATTCAGCTGGCTGAAGCAGGAGGATCATTTGAGAGCGCAGGAGTCTGAGATCAGCCTAGATAATGTAATGAGACCCCATCCAAGAAAAAAAAAAGAGGAGCTAACATCATCCTCCCCTGTACTCTCCTAATATTTCGGACTAATTTTCTCCAAAGTTTTAATCACCATCTGATGCATTTACATTTTGTTTGTTTATATTTCCATTAAAATATAGTTTCTGGGCCAGGGATTTAGCTCAGTGCCACTGCAAATGCCTTGCAAGTGCAAGGTCCTGAGTTCAATCTCTGGTACCAGAAAAAAAAAAAGAAATAAAATGTAGGTTTTGTAAAGGCAGAAATTTTGGGTGGTGGTGGTGGGAGTTAGAATCCAGAGCCTTGTGCCTGATAGGCAAGCGCTCTCTACCACTGAGCTACTGAGCTACATCTCCATCCTAGGGCTTTGCCTCTTAATAGTTGTCTCCCGCACACAGGATGAACAATAGTAAGACCTTCAGGACAGAAGATGGTTCTGCAGCAACATCAGCCCCTCAGTTGTACAAACTACCACCCCCAGGCTGCATGTCCACAAAGCTGACCTTGCATCCAGGAGGGAGGGCATGTATGGGGATGATGGGGGTGCTCACTAGTCCACACTGTAGACAAAAAGGGATTCAGGAGAGGTAATGCCCCCAGGAGTTTGTGGCCAAGAGGGAATTTTATGTACATATACACAAAACTCCAGAACAAAATGGCATTTGTTTAAAATATCTGGCCTTTGACGCTTAATATTTCATATTCTGGTAATAACTCTAGACTTTTTTTCATGATAGAAAAGACCACAAACTATGGCTTATGAATTAACTGTATGGCTATTTCTGTCCCAAATTCCCGCTCTGGTCTGCTTATCATACCAGACACCTTGCCTGACTTCCAATCTTGTTTGTGCCAAAGTGCCCCCAATTAGTCCCCTCCACCCAATATTGCCCTCGATTTGCTGTTGACTTGCATAGACTCCACCTCTTCTAGTCCCTCCACACACTCCTTCTAGATATAGAGAACACTGCAAAGGGGTGCAGTCAACTGTGGAAGTTGTCACAGATCCTGAAGAATCTAAATACAATCCCTTTGCAATAAAAATGTGTGTCTGTTCTCCTCCATGAGCCTATGGCATTCAGGGCTCAGGTTCTACACTGTCCACCTTTGCAGCTCAACAACCTTGTGTGCAGTCAAGCTTGCTGAATTGTAGCACAGGATACTATAAATTGTAAGGATACACCTATTTAGGAAGTACCTCTTGGGCGGGGGATTTAGCTTTGTGGCACCATGCCTACCTTGCAAGTACAAGGTCCTGAGTTCAATCCCCAGTACAGGAAAAAAAAAGGAGTACCTCTGTATCCTAAGAAGGTATCCTAGAGCATTTCTGTAAAGTTACTTTATTGATCTATCATAATGTAAGAAACAATTTAGCTAGCAAGTATTAAAACACCCCATCTGGGCTTGATGGTGCATGCCTGTAATCCTAGCACTCTAGGAGGTTGATGCAGGACAGCAAATTCAAGCCCAGCCTGGGCAGTTTTAACAACTTAGTAAGAACCTGTTTCAAAAATAAAAACTAAAAAAGGTTGTGGATAAGCCCAGTGTGAGTGTCCTAGGTTCAGTTCCAAGTATTGCAAACAAATAGGCGAGCATAGTGGGTTATGCCTGTAATTCAGTACTTGGGATGCTGAGGAGGAGAATCGGTGCAAGTTTGAGGCCAACTTAGGCTACATAGTTCAAGGGTAACCTGACCACATAGTTAGACCCTATCTCAAAAGACCCAAAACCAAAGAAACATTCCAAAAGGACCAATATTTGTGTGTGTGTGTGTGTATTTTTTTTGTACCGGAGATCAAACTTCAGGACAGGCAATGGAACCACTGAGCTAAATCCCTGGTCCAAGGACCAACATTTTAAATGCTTGTCAAACACTTTAATAATTTTCAAAGTTACTTTCAGTTTTTATTTATTTATTTATTTATTTATTTTTAGGGGGGTACCTGGGATTGAACTCGGGTCCTTGTGCTTGCAAGGCAGGCCACTGAACCGCTGAGCTAAATCCCCGGCCCTTCCTTTGAGTTTTTAAAATCTTATATCTGAAAATCCAAAATTTTCAAAAGATAAATTACAAAGAATGTTGCTATTCCCAGGATTCCTTAGAATAAGAGTTCCTTGAAATATCTGAATTTTTAGATACAGAGATTTATTTCAGTGAAAAGCTGGGAAACTGAGAAACATAAAGCTAAACATTAGGATTTGGCTATTAAAAACAGTTTAGATTTTGGTAATTCATACTGGGGTGTTAGGTCATTTTCAATACTTTTCTGTGTGCTTGAGACCTTGTTTCTCTCTTACCTTCCCCCTACACATAATTTCCATACCCAGGCAAGATCAAGCATAAGAAAACATGACCCAACTCAGAATTAATAAGAGGTGGTACTGGCAATAAAAATATTATAGAGGTGAGTCCTTCCCCTCTTTGGTTCTCAGTTTCTCCAGATACAAAAAAGAAGGAGTGCCTATAATCCCAGCACTCAGGAGGCTGAGGTAGGAGGATTGCTGTGAATTTGAGGCCAGCCTGGGCTACAACAGTGAGTTCAAGGCCAGCCTGAACTATATATATAATGAGACCCTGTCTCAAAAAATGAAAAAAAAAATATAAAGGACAAGATGATTTTGGGCTATTCCAGTTCTTAATGTGTTGAGATGGTGAGGGCTGTGAGTATAGCTCAAGGGCAGAGCATTTGCAGAGCATGTGTATGGCCCTGGGTTCCAGCAGGAAAAAAGAGTGCATACACAAAATAAGACTAGGGATGTAAGGTAGTGCCTATTTTACATTACAATGTGTTTTTGTTTGTTTCTGTTTTATTTTGGTTTTTTTGGAGGAGATTGAATCCCTAGATACTTTACCATTGAGCAACATCTGCAGATTAATTAATAACAAGGTCTTGCTGTATAGTTCAGGCTGGCCTTGAACTCACTATGTAGTCCAAACTAGGCTTGAATTTACAGCAATCCTCCTGCCCCGGCCTCCCATATTTATTGTATTTATGAGACAAGGTCTTACTAAGTTATGCAGGCCTCTCAGTGCTGGGATTTCAGATGTGTGCCATGATGCCTGGTTTATAATGGTCTATGCCACCCTGCCCTCACACCTCCCTAGTACTGGGGATTAAACCTGGGGCCTTTCTACTACATTGTATCCTCAGAACTTAAAAAATTTTTAATTTTGAGACAGAATCTTGCTAAGTCACTAAGGTGCCCAGCCCAGCTGGATTTATAATCCTCCTGCCTCAGGCTCCCAGATGGCTGGGATTACAGGTGCACTCCTTCAGATTTTCTGAGTTTTTTCAAAGCATTTAAACTATGTTTTGTTTTACCAAAATCTGGTTACTATTTTTATTATTAATATAGCAGCTAACATTTACTAAGAAGTTAGGTGCCACTTATTTAATATGCTAGCCATATATAAAATGCCTTTTAGTGATTATCTGAATTAACCATCCCAGTAAATTTACGAAGTAGAGACCAAGGATGTCCTCATATTGCAGATAGGCAAACCAGCTCCATGGCTCTCTAACTGTCTAGCTTGCCTAAATTCACTGAGGTTCAGAATGGCAACACTGGAACACAAATTCTCATTTCAATCTGGTCTCAGAACACACTGCAAACCCCATGACTCCCAGGCTGGCTGCCCGGGCTAGGAGAGGCTCAGCATTCCTTCTTCTGATGAGCCGTGGTCCTCTGTGCCGCCTGCCTTCACAGATGGGATGGTAGATTGGAGATTGGATAGTCCCTTTGATTTCAGCTTAATTCCTGGAACATAATATGGTGATGTTTCATTAAGAAATGCTATTAGACTTTCCCTTGGATGAGTAATAGTGGATTTCATTGGTTATTTTGAATCACTTATGGATGATAGAATGAGAAAAAAAAATATATATATATATACAAACTGGCTTTGAATTCCTAATTTGGTTCTTGATGTTTATTTCATTTTATTTTATTTTGGTACCTGGGATCAAACTCAGGCCCTTGTGCTTGCGAGGCAGGTGGCGGAACCACTGAGCCAAATCCCTGCCCCCCTTGATGTTTACTGTCTAAGTAAACCAGCATACATACCAAGACATCACATTATTTTGCAATATATATATATTTTTTTTTCAGCTTTAATTGAGTTTATTGGTACATTTTAGGGGTACAGTACAGTTACATTCGTTGTTGGGATCCTGTACCTCTACATGACAAGTCTTGATTCTCATTTTTTCCCCTTACCCCCGCCCTCTCTTCACCCCCTCCTCCCCTCTCCATCTACAAACACTTTATTTTCATCTTTTCATTATATCACATTCTTTTCTTTTCCCTTATTACCCTTCCCCTACCCATCCCACCTTCCCTACACCTTTAGCTCCTTTCTTCCCATTTCTAAATGTCAGTAATCTTATTAGGATCTTATGTATTAGTGCAGATTACTCACACCAGGGAAACTATTTGCAATATATATTTTTTGAGATGCATTCATGTGGTTATTTTGCAACATATTAAGGTGAAAAAAGCCACCCCAGAAAAAAGTAAAATTAATTTTACACATATACTTTCATAGGAACAATATGAAATAGTTAAGACAGGGTTTATTTGCCTATTTTGCAAATGAGGAAGGGAGTCACAGAAAAAGGAAATGGCTTGCCCTGGGCTCCTGAGATGGCTGGATCCTAGTTCAGTGTTCTGCTTATACTAGGCCACCTCTGTATTGCAAAAGGAGGCCCTCTGGCCACAGCCTGGTATGGCACAACCTCCAGTACAGTTATTGAGTGTCCTAAAAAGGAGTTCAGATGCTTCCTGGTGAACAGAGCCAAAGGACTGCTGTTCTGAGTGCTGTACGTGCCAGGCTGTGCCACAGAGGTTCCTGTATGTGCCCGGGAACGAGGACTCAGCACCAGTCATTCCCATGCTCACACCTGTGCAATGTGATAAAGAAAGGAGAATTCATCTGCAGCTGTGGCCCACCCAGATAAAACTTTTAGGCGGGAAGTCAAGTGACAAGGGAACATGTGTATGTGTATGTGTGTGTTTAAGTGTTAGTTGTTTTTGATATTTTTAACAAGATTTTAGGCTGCTCGTGGAAGCCAGACCAAATACCAGGAAGATATTGCAGCAAAATGGACTTGAGAGAGGATCAGTCTCATTTGCAGTGCCATCAGACACCTGAACGTCATCAAAGAGAGACCCCTGCTCCAGGTAAAGAAAGAAACCTCCAGAGGTGGTAGCTGTTGGGAAGAATTGGGGCTATGATTATTTTCTTCTTCATGGATCTGGCAAAAAAAAAAAAAAAAAAAGGCAAAATTGAGAAACTTAAGTGGGAAGAACTGGCTATATAAACACCTAAAATGCCTTTTAGAGCTAAAATTCTAATAAGCCTGAGAAACATAAGGTAATAACAAATAAATGATTAATAAGATGCTCACTTAAAGGAAAAATAATGAAAATATACCTCTACACTTCTCTGGTAGCACAAATTTGGTCGAACTTTTGGAAAGCGATCTGGAAATAGGCGGTGAGAACTGTAGCAGTGCTTATACTTTTGATTCCTAATCTCAGCCCTGGGATCTGTTCTAAAGTAGCATTTTTTAAAATGTTTTGCAGAACTTGAGGTCTTGAGACATCCTAAGATAATGTTTTAAAACTTTTTGGTTTGATGGATCTTTTTGGTATTCTGATGAGGTCAAGATCCCTTCTTGGAATAAACACTTAAAATATATAAAATTAAATACAGAAGATTACAAAGGAAGCAATTACATTAATAGTCAAAAAATTTAAATTATGATATAGCAATATGTGTTTATTTATAGATACATTAAATAACAAGATACAGTGATGGGTCTAATAATCATAGTGTTAAACAAATCATGTCTAATAAATGATATTTTAAGGCATCTGAAACAATAGCAATATATGAAAAAATCTTATTTCTTTTGGTAACAAAGTCGCATACTACTAGAATTACTGAGATTTCTTAACTATATTCATAATTGTAGGAAATGGTAATTCTAACCAGAAGTTGGTAAAAACAACCCTACTTTGATAATGTTAAGTGAATTAAATTAGACACACAAACTTATATGTTGTACTGTTTCTCTTATATGAGAAACTTAAAGTAAAAATAAAGAGGAAAGAGATAATACAAAACAGAGAATAGATTTACAAATGGGTAGGGGACCAAGAGATGGAGAGAGCGAGATGGGAGGGGAGTGGCAGGGGGAATAAAAAGAATTAATGCACATGTACCAACTCCCCACAACGAGTGTGATCATTGTACTGTCAACATGTACTAGTAAAATAAAATAGAAAACAAAGAGATAAGCAAATAACTGTACGATTAAATTTGAAAAGAGAGAGAGAACCCTTGTCCTTGGCCCTGCACAGTGGTGCGTGCCTATAATCTCAGCCGTTCTGGAGGCTGAGACAGAATTGCAAGTTCGAGCCTTGCCTGGGCAACTTAGTGACTTAGTGAGACCTTGCCTAAAAATTGAGAAAAAAAAGGGTGTGTGTGTGTGTGTGTGTGTGTGTGTGTGTGCCACAGTGAGAAGGCTGTGGGGTTCAATCCTCAGCACAAGGGGAAAATAATCTTACCCTAAGAAAACAAGGTGCCGTGGTGTAGCTCTGCATTACTCCACAGGCTCTAAGAGGTTCTACATGGAACACCTATTTGCTTTTCTCAAACCCAGATGAGAGAAGAAACTTTTTCATAATAATCCTTTTGGGGGTACTAGGGTTCAACACAGAGTTGCTCTACCACTGAGCTGTATCCTTTTTTTATTTTTTATGATGAGACAGGTTCTCACTAAGTCGCCCAGGCTGGCCTTGAGTTTGCCATCCTCCTGCCTCAGCGTACTGTGTAGCTTGGCACAAGTGTGGGCCATCTCATTTGGCTGGATAATACCCTTAATAGTCTAAAAATCTTGAAACAACACTACCCTAAGGGGAAAATTGAAAAGAGAAAAAAGCTATATGCAATGAATATGCTTATAATAGTTATTGATATGCAAGGCAATAGTTTGTGGATTCTTTTTTTTCCCAGTATCAGGAATTGAACTCAGACCCTTGTGCTTATGAGGCAGGTGCAGTGCCACTGTGCTAAATCCCCAGCCCGCATGACAATAGATGTTTTTTTCTTTTTCACAAGGCAATAGTTCATATGCAGTAGTTTTGATATGATGGTGACAGCCTAAATACTCAATATAAGCAGGGTAAATAAGAGTGCATTGGCTAGATTAAGTACCGTGTCATCAGTAAAATCATAGGATGACTACTTCATGAGACATACTTCTAATATTGTGATATGTTATCATTACAACTTTGTATGTATGACCTAGACAGAAATGAGGAATAAAACGAATCCAGGTTATTATGTTAAAGATAGCAGAATATGTCCAGCTTGGGTGACACAGCAATATAGTGGTGCCTCACCTCATGAACTTAATTCTTTCCCTGATTCTGGTCACCAACTGAATTGGATGAGAACCAAATCAAATTCAGTTGTTAGGTTCAATGTTGAATGTATATGAAATGAATAGGGTGGTAGCACACTTATGTACAAATACCATGTCTAAATAGGTCTCTGTTCTTTACATTCAAAAAAGATTTCCTAAATAACTACCCTAGAGCCTATCTGGAAGCATGAGGATATAGCTCTTGTCCTCAAAATCTAGAAGAAAAACCCAGCACAGGGATTCCAGCACTTGACAATAGGACTCTTCCGCTGTGACTTATGCCACATGTCATATCTCTCTCCAGTAACTTTCATTTTCATCCTACAGAAATCATTGGAACTTGGAGTTTGCGGAACCGAGAACAACTCAGAAAAAGAAAAGCTGAAGCACAAGAAAAGCAAACTTCACAATGGGCATTTGGGTATGGAGTATTACCAGGGAAAGGGGACTAATGTTTATCCAGCATAGGTTATGTGGCAAGCAGTGCTGCACTAACACTGCCCCTCTGTCTTTGCACCAATCCTATGCATCAGGTGCTAAAAAGAAAGAAAGAAAGAAGGAAAGAAAGAGAGAGAAAGACAGAAAGAAGAAAGAAAGAGAAACTAATCTTCAAAGTTTTAACTCTCTTGCCTAAAGCCACAGAGTAAAATTCTGTATCCCTAGTCTCTTTTAGTTAAAGCACCAGGCAACCAGATGATGTGGTGGAGAAGCCCGGTGAGCGGCTACCCTGGTAATATATACGTAGACATCCAAGCATCTTGTTAACAGTTTATTGTGGAGGAGCTTTCTATTAGTGTCGCCCTTGCTCACTAGGTATGATTTTCTCAGCTCAGAATAACCCAGAACATTGTAAATGAGTGATAGATACTTTGGGAGTTCCTAAATCTACCACCAGTGTCACTAATGTAATCTTAGGGAGGGAGTACAGGAACATGATTATAAATTAGGCAGCATCAACTGCATCTATTTGGAATATGACCATGGCAATAGGAGATCTGCTTGCTTGAAGATAGAAAAAGGGAGCCCACAGAGCCTGGGCACCAGGGATACTATGGGCAGGATAGTTCTTTATTTTGGGAGGCTGTCCTGTGCATTGTGGATGCTTAGTTTTCTGACCTCTGGAAACCAATAGCACCTCTTCCTTCCCATCCCAGTTGAGATAGTCAAAATATCTTGTTAGACATTGTTAAATGTCTTCTGGGGTGGGTTGGGAAAAGGTGAGCAAATCACTCCTACTTGAGAACTATTTTGCAAAGCACTCTTTTAAAATTTTTTAGTTAACTTTTTTTTTGGCAGGGGGGATAGGCTTTCTGTGTTGCCCAGACTAGCCTTAAACCCCTGGAATCAAAAGATCCTTCTGCCTCAGTCACCCAAGTGCAGGGAGTATGCAGTTTTACTGTGCCCAGATTGCCTTCTTATTAAGAAAGAGCATTTTTCACTCCCTGCCAGAACAGGGCTGTCTGTTTTGCTACCTCATATATTTCTGTAAGGCCTGTTAGCTCACATGTTATTGGTACAGAGGAAAATAATGCCAGTATAATGTGGCAGTGGTGTTGGTTTATTTTTCCTAGTCAAAATGACCAGAACAGTGGAAACAGAATTAAAACCTTCAGAGGAAGAGGAAAGAGCCCCTTGTGTGGATTCTATGAAAGCAGAATCCTTTCCAGCCTGCACCCAAGGCTCCCTCCCCAGAGAGATGCCCCGGCCTTGCAGAGCTCTCTCATCACGTGGAAGTTTGCACTTACTGTTGTGTCTAGCTTAATAGTCCAGTGACTATGAGTCTACAATGACACTTTGCTTTTCTACATTTTCACTGTCCCTTGAGGCAGACGCCAGCCAGCGGAGACTGCCTGTCTGAATTAACCAAGGAGTCTCCCTTGGTACCAATGACTGGTTTTGTTAATATTAAAAGTCAGTATAGTTGTTTATTGCTTCCCAGCCTTTTGGTTAAGATCAAGTGAAGATTGTATAGGTTTTGAATTGTTTGCCCAAAGTCTATCCCCCGACCCCATAACCACTGCTACTTTCTAGTACATGATTTTGCAGGTGAGAATTTTCAGGAACACAACCAAAATTTTATAGCAGAAACTTCTATACTTGGGTCCTGTTGAAGATTATCCAGTTAGCTTTCCCACTTCTACACCCATTGACCAGCCTTCTGATTATTACTGAATTTCTCACAAAGAGTGGGTTTGTTTACCTTACATTCATTTCCCTTCTTAAGCCCTCTCTGCTAAGTGACTTTGCACTTCTCACTGTTCATTTAAAAATTGGTCTTTAGGTTTAATTTTTGGTTTTATTGAGCCTAGTCAGTGAGCTCTGCCCTGATAAACAGGGCTAGCCTCCTTGTGCTGACAGAATTGATTTTCCAAGTTTACTGAGCTGAGGACACAAGGCTGAGGAATTCTCTGAAGTAGATGACACCTTGGTGAGCTTGGCAGTTGGCTACACTTGCCATGGTGACATTCTTATGTTACTGAGTGTTAGACCCTCTTTTCTCATCACAACACATATACACAGTGAAACCTTAATGGCTTCAAAGTGAGGCAGCATGGTGTAATAGTTCAGAGACTGGCAGACTGGCCAGATTGACTAGATATAAAGCCTGACTTCCTCACTTACTAGTTGTTGACTCAGGGGCAAATTACTAAGCTTCTCTGGGCCTTGGTTGTTATCTGCAAAATGGAGATAATAGTAACTACCTCACAGGTTGATGTGAGATTACAAAAGTTAGCTAACAGTGACAACAGGGCCAGACACATAGAGAGGACTATAGATGTTTCTATATGAATATGAGAGAACTAGTTTTACTGTATCTGAATGATTCATCCACGTTAAGTTACAACTGCCACATGAAGTTGGGCAGATATTATTTATTACATACTACATATAGAGAAGCCAAGGCAGGGAGAGGTTAAGTGATTTGTCCACAATCAGGAGAAAGTACAGACTAAGTTTAGGCCATGCAAAACTTTTGCATTGTTTTGAAAACTACCAGGGAAGGGCTGGGGGTTTAGCTCACTGGTTCTGCCACTTGCCTTGCAAGTGCAAGGTCCTGAGTTCGATCCCCAGTACCAAAAGAAAAAGAAAAAAGAAGACTACCAGGGAAGACATGGGCCATTATATTACTCAGATCTCCTTGTAAAGAAATCTATGTAACATTATTTAATAATATCTAGGGGAAAGCAAATGTTTCCTGAAGAATTCAGACATATCACCTTTAAAAAAAAACCTGACAATAAATGCTTTATAATTTGTCTTGTTACTTTGGTTACTTAGAGCAATAGTTCAAAATTCTATGGTACCAGAATGTCATCTTCAGATTTCCTTTTCTTCTACAGGATTCTTAATATTTTTATTATTTCATTATATAAAATATCAAAATCATATTTTTATTATTTAATGTTTATTTTACATACTTCTTTTTATCCTTTTTTGGGGGTAGTACTGAGGATTGAGCCTAGGGCTTTCCCACTGAGCTATACCCCAGACCTTTTTCAGTTCTAAAAATTTTGAGATATGGTTTTACTAAGTTGCTAAATTTCCCAGGCTGGACTCAAACTTTTTTTGGGGGGGGTACCAGGGATCAAACTCAGCACCTTGTGCTTGCCAGGTAGGCACAGAGCGACTGAGCTACATTCCTGGCTCCTTAGACTGAAAGTTCTGATCTTCCTGCCTAAGGCTCCCACAGTTCTGGGATTACAGGCATGAGCCACCACAATATATATATGATTTTGACTTCAAATTGTTTTTAGTGAAGTAATCTTTAAACATTTTTACTAAGAAAAATTTTGAACATATGCAAATGTAGAATGACATGGATTTTTAAAAAATGTGCAAGGAATTATGAACACTACAAAGACACAAGAAACAGTGGATTTTTTCTCCAAGGAATATTTAGTTTACTAAAAGAAATATGATCTCTTCACAAATAACCATAGTATGAGGTAGACTGCCTTAAATCATGAAACAATAAATCCTATAGTGAACATTTTAGAGACAAGTGCTGCTAATGCAACCCAAAACCCACTTATTTATCATAAAGTGCCATCGCTGCAATTAAACCTGGCAACTGAAGTTTTAGTTTAGAAAAAACAACTAATACATTAATATCTTTTGTCGTAAAAGAAAACACATGTGCCATAGATTCAGTAGCACTGCTGTAAGTATACATAAGTATATATAAATATAAGTTTAAGCAGGGAGAGCATTTCAGTCTTGTGTTCTGTTAGAGAAGGCTCCACAGAGCGGGTGGCATGGAACAGAATTTCAATAGGTTTAGAAAAATGATGAAATGCTTATTTATAGTACCTTCCCCATCCCCCCAGCCCATCTGTATTAGCCATCTGTATTTGGTTATATTTGCAGTGCCTAACAATTTGTCACTGGCTGCAATTCACATGTATCTTATTTCATCTTCTAGATCTTTAATCTATTAATTAGGTATAATAGGACCACTCATGCCTTTCTACCAGGCTGCTTAACCTCAAGAATTTCTTTATGCAGCTTTTGACCCAGCTTACAGTACATCTCATTTTATATATGTGATAGCTACTCAACATTCCTTGAAGAAGACACTGTATCAGACAAGCAAGCTACATGCACAATCCACCTTCAGCCTACACAGTTGAGAAGCCATGCCTACACTGTAGGTCAGAAACTCAGTTGGATCAGTTTACCCAGGGGGTAGTGGGGCTACCTCACTAAACTCAAAGAGATGAAGTCATAGACCAGAATGTCATTTTTTGGTTTTGTTTTGTTGAGGCAGGGTCTTACTATGCAGTTCAGGCTGGCCTTGAACTCATTATGTAGCCAAGGCTGGGCTCAAACTCACAGCGATCCTCCTGCCTCAGCCTCCCAAGTGCTGGGATTACAGGTGCGCACCACCATGCCGGGCTTGTCATCTATTATTTTATACAGGAATTATACATTGCCCATAACCCAACTTTAAGGTTATGCTAACACACACACACACACACACACACACACACACACACACACACTATTACACCAGTGTGTAAGGTGTTAAGGTTAAAAAGTCCTGGAGAAATATTCCCTCTCCTAAAAGTTGAGACCATGTAGCACTATTTATTTTACAAACTAGGACATTGAAGCCCACAGAGATTAAGGGGATTTTTCAAGGTGGTGCAATAAAGCAGTAAGGTCCTGGAACTGTTACTAAGAGTAGTTATTTGAATTCTGTAGTCCTGCTTCTGACTAATTCTGATCTCTCTACAGGGAACAGAAGAAACGAAAGTGGCAAAAAACAGGAAAAGTAAATCAAAGAGGCCGGAAGAGACAACGAAATGCAGAACCAAAGATAGAGCCACAGTCACAAACAGCAAAGGAAATGATGGAGAAGGCACTGGTACCTACAGAGGCACAAAAGGAGCCACATGGAAGAGTATCTGAAGCCCCTGCTTTGGTAGCTTCCCCCCAAAACATTGTGGCTGAGGAACATTCTTTTGAACTACCTCAAGAAAGCATTACACACCAAGAAAATTCTTCTGAGTACCAAGAAATAGTGGTACAAAGCCATTCTTCTGAAACATGCCAACATATGGCTGAAACTGAAGACCTCGCTCCTAAAATGTGCCAAGACATACTGGTACTTCAAGACCATTCTTCGAAAGTATGTCAAGGTGTGGCTCAGCCTGAAGTCCTTGCTCCTAAAACAAGCCAAGAAATAGCTGTGATTCAAGAACATCCTTTCAAAATATGGCAAGATACAGTTCAGTCTGAAGTCCTTGTTCCTCAAATGTGCCAGGAAACAGCTGTCCCCAAAGCCCCTTATTCTACAACCTATGAAGTTGTTGCTGACCAGGAAGGGTGCACTCCTGAAGCATCCCTCAAATTGGATGTGCCTAAAGACTATGCAGAGGAAACACATCCAGGCACGGTTGGACCAAAGAAACCAACTTTGAGGCAAGATCAAGCTGAGACTGAAGGCTTCTTTCTCCAAACACAAGAAATATCTCAGCCTAAAGACCTTTCTACAAAAAAATATCAAGAAACAATTGATTCTGAATACTTTTCTCATAATACATATAAAGAAATGAATGTGCCTAATAGTCCCTCTCATAAAAGAATCCAAGAAACACCCAAGATTGAAGAATATTCACCTGAAATAAACCAAGAAACACTTGGGCCTGAAGACCATTCACCTGAAATATTCCAAGAAACACCTCAGCCTGGAGAATATTCACCTGAAATATACCGTGAAACGCCTGGGCCTAAAGAATATTCACCAGAAACCTACCAAGGAACAAGTGAGCCTGAAGACCTCTCTACTAAGACATATACAAATGGAAATGTACTTAAAGAAGACCTTCCAGAACCATACCAAGAAACAGGCAAGCCCCATGGCCAGGACCCTACAGCACACGGAGAAGATGCTAAGGATGTTTATACTCTTCCTCAAGGTAGGGGCTATTTATAGCAACAACAGGTACATCTCACTCACAGTAGTAATTTACAACCTTCTTTAGCAATGCTCAGTTGTTTCAGTAGGTGGTACTATGGTTATCATTAGCGTTTTTCAAGTAAAAAAATACTTGACATGCAACTAAAGTTTGTCTTGGCAAATTTCCAAAGCATTGAAAGAAAATAATTGAAAATACAAGTATTGCATAGTAGGTACTTGTATATGCTACTCATTTTAAGAAGCTATCAGTAAAATGAACTCAATATAAGGTGACTTAGAGCACAAGTATTTTAAAGCACAATAAAATCTAGATTAACAAGAAAACTAGATGAATGAAGTTTTTCCAGGAAATTTATTTTTCCTGATAAACTAACGGCAAGTGAATTCATAGTACAAAGTACCGATGGAGGTACAAAGGTGTAAAATGTGAATCTGGGAACTGGGGAACTCATTCTGGGAAGCTTTATCAGCTTTACCAAAACCCTGTTTCAGATTTGTTTCTGAAAAGCTTCTTCTTTAGCAAAGTATGTTTGTTTGTTTTGTTTTGTTTTTTGAGATACTGGGGATTGAACTCAGGGCCTTCACACAGAGCTACATTCCCAGTCCTTTTAAAATTTTGCTATAGCTCTCACTACATTGCCCAGGCTGGGCTCAAACTCACAATCCTTCTACGTCAGTCTCCCAGAGTGTGGGGATTACAGGCCTGTGCCACCACAACTGGCTTCAGCACAGTTTTTTAAAAAAGGGATTGATCTTTTTTTTTTCTTCTTGGTGTTTTGAGACAGAGTCTATTTATTCCAGGTTGGCCTTGAACTGCTTGTAGCACAGGGTGGCCTCAAACTCATGGTGATCCTCCTACCTCAGCCTCCCTGAGTGATTGGATTGATTACAGGTGTATGCCACCATGCTCAGCCCTCTTTCTTTATTTTGACTTGCCTCAGGGACATGAAAGAATCCTGATTTCCTTTATACAATACTGTAGACAGTTAAGAAGTGGGGTGAGGGTTGGAAGTTTGGCTTAGTTGCAGAGCACTTGCCTGGCATGCATGATCTCTAGCATTACAAAAAACAAAAACAAAAACAAAAAGAAATGGTCTGAATCTCTCACACCAGACAAGGTATTTATCCCCAGGAAAATGTTCTCTGAAGAAACCCCTTTGGAGTTTTTTTGGTAGCTTATTTGTTCTTTCTGCTAAAAGACGAGAGCAACAAAAATATAATGTTAATTGGTTCCCAAGTAATGCAGCTTTTGAGGAACTACTTAAAACAAATTTTTAAAAACAGGTGTATTAAACTCTCCTTGTGCTGGTGGGATTCCTGCCTGATCATTTAAACTCAGCAAGGCCAATATGGACAAGTAACGCTCATTTTAGTTTTGGTTTTGCCTTACCAAAAAAAATGGGACTATTTATTCTTCTGCTAATTATAAAAGTAATGTGCTCATTATAATAAATTCAAACAAGTGAATATAGAGTAGGAAGGTTCACATGATACTATCTCCTATCTCCAATCCCCAATGTTAAGGTTGTTGTTCTAAAAATTTTTAAATAAATAATTCTTTAATTTTTTTCCATTTATCCTATATATTATAGTCATCTTGGGCTGGGGATCTAGCTCAGTGGTACTGTACTTGCCTGGCAAGTGCAAGGTCTTGAGTTCAATCCCCAGTACCAGAAAAAAAATTGGAAATTAGGGCTAGGGATTTAGCTCAGTGGTTCTGCTGCCTGCCTTACAAGCACAAGGTCCCAAGTTCAATCCCCAGTACAAAAAAAAAATTGGAAATTATAGCCATCTTTAGGATGTCTTTTGTAATATTGCATAACTTTGTGCTATGTGAATGTACAATAATTTATTCAATCAACCCTTATATCAACAAACATGTGAGTTGTCAAATTTTACTAATACATAATGTTCAACATCATTGGGAATGAAGTTTATTTAACATTTATTTAGTACTTCCTGTGTGCTACTGTATCAAATATTTTACATAAATTATTTTATTCAATGTTTTAAACCCCGTGAGGTCAGTGATATCCCCACTTTGTATACAGTATAAGGAATTTGGGATTTTGGAAGCTTAAATTTGTCTCATGTTTTGGATCAATCCCTACGAGTTGAATTGGTCAGCCCACAGTACTGATGTTTAAAGACTGAGCCGGGTGTGGTGGTACATACTTGTAATCCCGACACTCTGGAGGCTAAGTCAGAGGATTGCCGTGAGTTCGAGGTCAGCCTGGGATACATAGTGAGTTTAAGTTCGAGGTCAGCCTGAACTATATAGAGAAACCCTGCCTCCAGGAAAAAAAAGTCTGGCTATATTTCAGACTGGCCTCTAGAAATGTTGTGGCAATTAATGCAAATCAATAATTTATATAAGTACCCTTTCTCTACACCTTTACCAGCACTGTACAATGATGATACTTAAGAATTCTGTGTCAAGGCTGAGGGTGTAGCTCAGTGGTAGAGCACTTGCCTAGTATGCATGAGCTCCTGGGCTCAATCCCTAGTATTGCAATAAAACTTTCATCTACTTGAAATTTGTTTTTGTACTTGATATGAGGATTTTTTTCCCTCCAAGTGGACAGTCAATTGTCTCCATACTACTTATTGAGTCATTTTCATATTTTATTTGATTTTACAGAAATGCAAGAAAAACCTAAAATAGAAGAACCAGAAGTACCAGTAATTTCACACATTCAAGAGATTCATCCAGAAAATGATGTGTATGACTATGTTTTGTTTTAACAATGCTCAACCATAAAGTTGTAATCCAATGGAATGTACATCTTAATATTTTGTGTGTGTTTTTCCTCAAAGTATTGTAGAAATACCTACAATTTTCATTAATAATTTAACTTGGCCTCTTTTCCTTTTATATTTGAGAGGGACTAACATTTTTTAAAGCTCTAACCATGTGTGTGTATGTGTATGTGCACATTGGGTGTGTATGTATATGTGGGGGGTGAAGGGAAGAGACAAGGAAAGGTTGAATAATTTTTCCTTCTAATAACAAACATTTAATTCTGAAGACCAAAAAAGTGGTTGAATTTTGGAAGTGTATCGTTTTGTCAAACTTGTTCAATTTTTGATATAACATCAAAATTTTATTCATGCTTTATTTCTTTTAGCTAATTTGAATAATTTTGTTTTGTTTTGTTTTTGGTTTTTTGAGACAGGGTTTCACTATATAGTTGAGACTGACCTGGAACTCAATATGTAGCCCAGGCTGGTCTCGAACTCAGAGTGATCCTCCTGCCTCAGCCTCCTGAGTGCTGGGATTACAGGCATACACCACCATGCCTGGATTAATTTGAATAATTTTGTTTTGTTTTGTTTTTGGTTTTTTGAGACAGGGTTTCACTATATAGTTGAGACTGACCTGGAACTCAATATGTAGCCCAGGCTGGTCTCGAACTCAGAGTGATCCTCCTGCCTCAGCCTCCTGAGTGCTGGGATTACAGGCATACACCACCATGCCTGGATTAATTTGAATAATTTTTGTTCTGGGATTCTTTAAAAAAAAGATTTCAGAATGATGAATGTAGTTTGCTTTTTGTATGTGAATTTGGGTTTTCTACTTTTTACTCTTTAAATATTGTATTTGTGCAAAATGTACATTAAACTATTAAGACATGCTTAACTGTGTGGACAGCATCATAGTGCTATGGGGTCAGAAGATCTATATGGCAAACAGTCCTTGCTTATTGGGAGTCAATGTCATTTTGTGGAGGAATAAAGCAGAAAACCAATAATTCCAAAAGAAACTACTAGTAAGCATTAACACCACATGAACAGTAGATATAATAGAGGAAATGCTTACCTGTTGCTGGAGTGGAGCCTTGAAAGATGGAGAGGATTTGCACAGGAGAGCAGAAGCATTATTGCAGGTCAACTAGAAATGTGTGAGTTCAAGGCATGCAAAAAAGAACTGCATACAACTATAATTAAAGTGGGGTCCATATGCAAGTTGGCTTGTATGCTAAAAAATCTTTCATTATGCAGCTAATCCATTTCTAGAGTGTAGAGAATTTTGCACACGTAAGAAATGTATCATGTGTTAGATAACAAGAAACTAAGTAAAACTTTTGAACAACGAAGTGGCAGTTTTCATATGTTAGGAAAATTCACCTGGAGATAATGGTCAAGATGACAGACAAGAGCCCAGGAACTATTCTAGGCAGAAAGATGTCTGATATCTTCCTTCGTATTTTGGTTGTTTTCAATTTTCCTTCTACTATTACAGGGGGTGAAGAGTAAAGGAGATGTTTGCAAATAAAGTTTCAATCAGCAAGGACACAATTGCACAAACTCTCCACATCGGCCTTGTGTAGATACTAGGCTATAGAGCGGTGGATCCCAAACCCTCTGGCATTATGTTATGAAACAGTGGTTCTTTCAAGCTTCACGGTACGTAAGATTCATTGGGGAAGATTTTAAAAGTATAGATGCCCAGATTGCTTCCCTCGTGATTGATTCCCCTATCTTGAGCAACAGCCAGGAACTGTTTTTTTGAACTTTTAAAATAATCTTTTTAAAAAAGAAAATAGCTTTAAAGAAATAGCTTCAGAATTATAGAAAAATTGTAAAGATAATACAGCAGTTCCTGTATCCCTTTCACCTAGTTTATCCTAATATTACATCTTACATAACTATGATTTAAATGTCAAAACTACATTATCATTAACTAAACTACAGACATTTAGTTCTCGCTAGTTTTTCCACTGATCATGTTCACTGCTTCAAAATATAACCCAAGATGCAGCATTGCCTTTAGGGCATTTTTATTTAAAAAGCTCTCTGGATGATTCTCATCTCTAGCCTAGGGTTCAGAACACTAGTGGGAAGTTATAATGCTGTTTCACTCCTATTTGCTACTTCCTTCACAGGATGTATTCATTATACAATCATTACTTAAATTCTACAACACTCAAGTTTTATATATATATTGAACTCAGGACCTTATGCTTGCCAGGCAGGCATGGCGCCACTGACCTACATCCCTAGTCCCTCAAGTAACATACAGAGGGAAGAACAACCCTAGAATAGATGGTGTCTTAAATCTGGATGACACTTCGTGTGCTTCTGCATACCTTAGTGAATTTAATCAACCTTAAAGTCTGTGAAATAGGATGGGCAGTGATTGCCACTCCCATATTACACATGAGCTAATAACCTCAGAGAAGCTGAGTACTCCCAAAGTCACATCTGATTTGCTCAGTGCCTTTCATGATAACACTCCATCTTAGAATGCTGCTGTCTCAATTTTACCTGCTGGAGGGGCTTAAGAATACAGACAAGAGTTGAGTGAAATCTCAAGATCTAAGTGTCTCACAAAGATGAACATGAGAGATTTGCATGCGGACTATTACACAAAAGGCACAAGGTGAAACAGATGGGGAATAGATGGAAAGAGGAATATATTGCTTTGGGAAGCAGACTTCTCTACATTTTAGGTCCTCTGACATTTTCCCTCCCCCACTTCCTGTACGCACACATAACTTCTCTACTTTCTCATCACTCCCAACCAAACATCAATGTGCATCTAATTTTTTTTCATTTTCTTCATGGTTTACAACCTTGTGGTCATAGAATTAAAATCTCACAAGAAGCCAGGTATGGTGCACACCTGTAATCCCAACACCCTGGGAGGCTGAGGCAGGAGGATCACAAATTCAAGCCCAGAATGGGCAGCTTAGTGACTTTGCAAGACCCTGCCTCAAAAAAGAGCTGGGGTTATAGGTAAGTGCAAAGGCCTGGGATTCAGTCCCCAGTATCAGACACACATAGAGGCACATGCAAGGAAGGAAAAGAAAAAAGGAAAATATCCTGCTAGAGTCCATGTAATATATTTTGTGCTGTCCTCCCCTCACAGTAGGTACAATGGTTGTTCTTAGAAATCCATGAACCCTGGGCCAGGGATTTAGGTCAGTGGTTCTGCCACCTGCCTTGCAAGCACAAGGTCTCGAGTTCAATCCCTGGTAGCAAAAAAAAAAAAAAAAAAAAAAAAAAAAAAAAA